CATACAAAAAATATATGAATTTATACAATTAATCATTGACCTCCTTTTCAAACTACTTCGACACGTCCACATTATAAATAAATGTTAATTATTATTATACATGAATGTAAATAAATAATTGAATAGGGCATGTAAGTAATAGGGATAGAATCGTCCAAAAAATGATTCTCCCCTCAAGTGATACTTAGTATATTATAGATAATGAACTGAACTTTGTCGTTAGGGTACATGCATACAAAAAATATATGAATTTATACAATTAATTATTGACCTCCTTTTCAAACTGCTTTGACACGTCCACATTATAAATAAATGTTAGTTATTATTATACATGAATGTAAATAAATAATTGAATCATCATAAGGCATGTAAGTAATAGGGATAGAATCGTCCAAAAAATGATTCTCCTCTTATGTGATATTTAGTATATTATAAATAAGTAACTAAAATAAAGTAATTAAATATTAATTACTAATAATAGACATAACCAATTAAGATAATTAATTACTGAAATATCTAAATAAGAAATTAAATTAAATATTATTTTTTTATTTAATTAAGTGATTAAATAAATAACTAAACAAAGTAATTAAATATTAAATAAAGAATATACATAATTAATTAAGATAATTAATTAGTGAAATATTTAAATAAGAAATAAAATAAATATTAATTCTTTTATTTAAATAAGTGATTAAATAAATAATTAAATTAATTAATTAATTTTTAAATGCATAATATACATACCAATTAAGATAATTAATTAATGAAATATCTAAATAAGAAACTAAATTAAATATTAATTTTTTATTTAATTAAGTGATTAAATAAATAATTAAAAAATAATATACATAGCTAATTAAGACAATTAATTTAAAAAATATTTAAATAAGAAATTAAAATAAATATTAACTTTTTATTTAAATAAATAATTAAATATTAAATGAACAATATACACAACCAATTAAGGTAATTAATAAAGAAATATTTAAACGAGAAACCAAATTAAATATTAATTTTTTTTATTTGAGTAAGTGTTTAAAATAAATAATTAAATAAGGACCAATTAAGATAATTAATTAATGTAATATTTAAAAGAGAAACCAAATTAAATATAATTTTTTTTATTTGAGTAAGTGTTTAAAATATATAATTAAATAATTAATTAAATAAACATATATCAATTAAGATAGTTAGTTAATGAAATATTTAACTAAGAAATCAAATTAAACATTAATTTTTTTATTTAAACAAGTGATTAAATAAATAATTAAATAGATTAATTAAATATTAAATAAATAATATACATAACCATAATTAATTAATGTAATATTTAAATAAGAAAGTAAATTAAATATTATTTTTTTATTGGAGTAAGTGTTTGAAATAAATAATTAAATATAAAGTGAAAAATGTTAGGTTTTTTAATTTGTAACTTAAGGGTATTTTTGTCTTTTTAAAAAAATTCTATCTTTGTAATTGTATAAACTATTTAAGGATATTTTATTTTTTACTCAACAAATGGCCATTTTGAATATTGACAAAAAAATTTGGTCAAAGTGAAAAAAGGGCATTTTGACTTGTCTAATTTCAAAAGTACCCTGTTTATGGAACGCAACTCTAAAAAATCATGTAGCAGCTCTTAATTACATTTCCCCCCTTAATTGAACAAATGGTCACTAAAGTACAATCAAATTACTTGAAGAATGTATTTTTACTCATTTGAGCAACATTCTCTAAAATATTATTATTTTTTTTCAATTTTTTTATAATACATTTTTCCTATAAAATAATTTTATACATAAATTCAAATTTTTCTTCACATTTTATCAATACATTCTCCGAAAAATTACTATTAGAATAGTCATTCTCCCCAAAATGGTGCTCAAACAGAGCCAAAAGTGCATGGGTAAAAATTGCACGGTGCATGGTTATAAGAGCATGGGATACACTATTCGATGTACGTCCAATAAGATAACATTGTAAATTTGGGAAGTTGGAACACAATATAGTAGGATTAATTATGCAAATAATGCATGGACTTTAACTCGTATTTTAAAATCATTTGTGATTTCAAAAATGAAAAAGAAACCCTTAAACTCATAAAATTGTTTTTCATTAGTACAAAATTTGATATTGCCAATCAAATTTGATGGACAATTGATTTGGTGGCTCTCTCTTTGAGCATCGTTTTACGGTTGTGCTACTTATACATAATAATTTACAAAATAATTTACCAACAAATGATATGGTGGGATTTAATTGGATCAAAATCTCATCAATTAAATAATTTCTCCACTTAGATCTTAACACCTTATTATTATTTAAAATATATGTACAAATGGTCCTTAAACTTTATTTATTATTTCAAAACGTCGTTGAATTGGATTTTATTTCAAAACTCACAATATTGACGCATTTTACGTTTAAGACCAGTGCATATCCAAGTTTTGTCGTCAAATTACAAGCTCCAAGGTTTATCAGACGAGATTCCAAAAATTAGGTTCAATCATGAGTCATGTATAATTTATGCATTTCACAGTTTGTTAACCTTAAAATGACCTCAACATATATATATATATATTTTTTTCCTCAAATTGAACTAGCGAACCCACTCCATGGAAAATCACATCCACAGAAGCAGTCCTATGTCAATGCCGAAGCCCTGAAGCTAAACTTAGTTGTTTGCAGAGGTGATGAAGATCGGCACATGTCAAAGCCGAATCTCAAGTATAGCAAATGACGACCCACACAAAAAGGATTATGAATTTATGTAGAAGATCCTTTTGGAATAATTGATGTGGCTTTTGTAATGAGTAAAATATCATGTCTTGTCACTTTAGGCAATAGAGTGGCTACTCTTTGTAAAAGCGTTAAATGCGTCACAGGCTAAGAAAGTCAAATTGATGCCTATAATGGTATGCTTCGGCCAAGAAAATAAGGCCACGTGGATTTTCATCCAACAGATATCGTTTCATTTGTAACATTATAAATACTCCCTCCATATATCATTTGAAGCATAGTTCTTAAAATCAGCCCGGCCCGAACGGTCGGCAAAGTAAATCGGTGATCCGGGCCCTTGATCGGGCTGGGCCAATTTATTTTATATAAAGTGAAAATTACACAAAACCCTAGCATTAAAATTTTGAATTCTAAAATCAGAGGAGAAGTTTAACATTTCAAAAATCAGAAATTTTATTTTAATTAATATTCTTATAAAATAAATATAACCCTAATTCTCTCACATTTCTCAATTCTCACTCTCTTTCTCAGCCCTTCCCCATCGCCTCCTTCTCTCTCTTTCTCTCTCAACCCTTTCCCAGCGAAGATCACGATCGAGCAGCACCACTGTGCCTACCGTCGCCTGTCACCTCTCTCGCTGCCGCTGGGCGCAGCATATGTGGTGGTGAATGGGTGGTCGCGCCACAGATCTAGTGAATGGCGTGCGGCTATCGTGGGCGACATTTGAGGTGACGAGGTGTTGCTGATGGTTGTGAGGCAGTGCTGGCGTAGCCGAATTTATGGTTTTAGATCTGTGGCGCCGTTGATGGTTGTGAGGCGATGTTGGCATGGCGACGAGGTGGTGCCGAATTTGTGGTTTTGGATCAGTGGTTGTCGGTGGGGTTCGTGGTTAGGTATGGTTGGATTTTGAGTTTTGGTGGTTGCGACTGTCATTGGTGGTGCGGTGCGATGTGTTTGGTGGGTGAGTGGTGATGTGCAGTGGTGGTGGGAACGGTGGTTGCGATTGTAGTGGCGGTGGCGGCGTGGTAGATTTGTGGAGTTATGTGGTTGGTTTGCCGTGATGGTGAGATGTGGTAGGGATGGTCGTGGTGCTGCGGCAGCGACAGTGGTGTTGGTGTGGCGGTGGTGGCGACGATGACGTTGATAATTTTGGAGTTGATTTTTTGTTTGAGACTATAGCATTGTTGTCAGTGATGGTGCTAGTGGTTCGGGCGATGGTGTTGTTGAAGGGAGTGGTGGTTTGGTGGTGGTCATGTATTATTTGATTGATCGTGATCATTAAATTGGTTAACCTGTAATCAATAAACAATATGTGACCACTAAAAATGATAAATTATGGTCGAGAATAGTATGTGACCTAAAAAAAATAATGTGTGACTTATAATATTTGTGATCTGTGACTTATGTGACGAACAAATAAATCGTGACCTACAAAATTTTTGAATTGTGACCTTAAAAAATCTTCATTTGCGATCGAAAAATAATTTGTGACTTATAAAATTTTTGATTTGTGACCAATAAATTGATATGTGTGACCAAAAATTAATTCGTGACTAAAATTAATAAATAATATGTGACCTAAAAATTGTGTTTGTGACTTATAATTTATTGAGTTATGACCGAAAAATTAATCAGACCTATAAAATTTGTGTTTGTGATTTATAATTTATTGAGTTGTGACCGAAAAATTAATCTGTAACTTATAAAAAATTTTATTCGTGATCGAAAAATAATATGTGACCTATAAAATTTTTAATTTATGACCGAAAAATAAGTTGTGACCAATAATATAATAAGTCGTGACTAAAAATTAATCTGGGACTAATTATTTTTGGATTTGTAACCAATAAACAAATTGTGACTTACAAAATTTTTAAATTGCGAATTGTAAAAAAATTTGTGACATAAAATTTTTGATTTGTGACCAAAAAATAATAAGTAACTAATTATATTATTAATTTGTGACCAAATTGTATAGATCCGTGATCTAAATATATTTAATTAATAAAATAATTAATTAACTAATTAAATTATAAATAATTTTTAATAAAAATCTGATTTTAGAAATTTGAAACTTGTTTTCTTGTTTTTGAAATGTGCCATAATTAATTTCTTAGTTATGAAATTTTCCCTTATATAAATGCAAGTGGCCAGGCTAATAGGTGATTTTTGAATAATTTTTGGACCGGTTCGACCTGTTGATTTTTAAATCAAATTTCAAAACTATTTTACATTGAAATTGTAGGTACCAAAGATTTGAACCCTTGACCTCTAAGTAAGTAGAGCACAACCTTACCACTAGTGCAAGCAATACTTTATTGTGTTTTGTTTACTAAATTATATCTAACCTATGAATAATTTGCTACTTTTAGAAACTTTTTTAAAGAAATTAGTCCAACATTTACATTCACTTTGTAATTTCAAATAATTATTTTATATAATTATTTTATTTGAAAAAAATTAAATTTTAACTAAGATAAATTGAATAGATAATACTCAAAATTTTTGTCAATAGCAAATAAATAGTTTGTAAATCACAAAAAGGAAAAAATATATTTTTTAATATAATATTCAAAATTATAAAATCAAAAAATTTAGCTATTATCACTGATAAATGAGTTCAAAAAATCATTAATTTAAATGTGTAGAAAAATTAGTAAGAAAGAACTTGAAAGCTTTAATTTTGTCTCAAACAAAAAAATAAAAAATAATACTTTAAAAATTATTAAATTATTTTTAAGTAATGACCCACCGATTCGACCACGGGTTCATCGGTCCAACCAGTAACCCAGTGACCCGATACCTTAATCCGGTCGATATTCGAGTCGGGTCTGATAACTATAATTTGAAGACTAATGCAAATCTACACACTTGTAGCTACTATTTATTTTTTCTCTTACTGATTATACACTTGTCTTAGCTTGAACTTAGATTACTTTGTTTTCTTCAAATTATTGAGGATCGTTTATTATTTTATAATTGATCATAAAAATATATTGTCGGAGTCCGAACATAATTGTCTCGTATTATAAAGCATTTTCCACGTCCAAACCTAAAGTATTATCAATTAGCATCGTATCCATATGTGTCAATTTTTTCTTACATGTGCACAAGTGGAATCGGTATCTATTGTTCACATCGTCCTAACAAAAAGTGAGATCGACAATACTAGTATATATCAGCGGCAGAGCCAGTGCGAGGTTTGGGAAATTCCTTTTTTTTTTTTTTTTTTTTTTTTGGGCTGATGCAACATGCTTGTGGTTGTGGGCCTCTTTTTTTTTTTTTTTAAACTAGGCCCAATCTATATAATATATGCAACAAGAGTCCAAGACTGACCAACGGAAGTCTATGAGCAATTGGCAGCAGCGCGTCTTTCTTCTTTAAATCAGTGAGCTGCTTCTCTCTCTCTCTCTCTCTCTTGTGGCGTGGGGGGTGGTTTGCCTTCGCAAGTTCACATAATTACTAATTAGTAATCATATAAATTACTATCTTATTTATTATTTATGATTTATGATTCTTAATTTCTTATGAATCTATAATTTATGTTTTATTAGTTAATTGACAAAATGACAGAGAAATGAGTATTGTGATTAGGGAATTTATTAGTTAATTGGCAAAATTACAGAGAAATGATGAATATTTATGTTGTGTGAATTAAGTTATAATTTATCATTTATAAGTTTTGATTTGTGATTTGGTAATTTATGTTTAGCCTTAAAAAGAAACTAATTGAATTATATTTTCATATGGGTAGAATTTTTACGTTTTAGTGCATTTTCTTATATATTGAAGAATTTTTAATATTATTTAATTAAAATTAATAAACGGCATCGCTATTACTATCAATGATTGTCAACGGTCAACGTTCGCCATCCACTCTAGCTGGGTTCCATTCCTGGATTCGCCACTGGTATATATGAAAAAGTTTTAAAATATTTCAGCGGGCTACTTATTGTACTCCTTTTCCTTTTCTAGCATATGAGAGTTATTTGTGTTCTTTATTGAGCCCTCGTTTGGTTCCCATTTTCATTCTCATTTTTCTCTCTTATTTTCAGCCACACAATCTTCTATAAATTGATATTACACGCAAATAAAAAACTTTTCATTCTTTTTCAACCACACATTTAAAAAAACACTATCCTAACCATTAAAATTTGGCAAGAATGGGGCCAAATGGGGCTTAAGTTGATAATTTTTCGAAATCAAATAACTGTTAGTTTCTTTCTTGAAAACTGCATGCTTAACATTGACGTGAGCAATTTTACATGTCAGGCTGAAGCTGCCGCACATTTTGAAATGACATTGTGGTATTACAAAGGAAATATGAGAAGTCAGTTGCTAACTCCGAGTGTTTTATGATGCAAGAATTAAACTACTGGAACAGAAATGGGTAACAAAAATGTTGACACCCTCTCACATGTGTGTGGCCCTACGCGAATAAAAAATTTCCAAAAAAAGTGGGCCTCACCCGAAGTGTGAGCGATTTGTCAGAGTGTATGTCATCTATTTTCTGTTAGTGTAGCAGAATTCTTAAAACAAATTGGGAATGTTCCACTCTTTGTATACATATTGGAATGAATAACCATAGAATCACGTAATTCTCCATCCTCTAGAGAAAAATATTTGTTGTGTATCATCATTTACGGATTGGTGAAGTGGCAAAAAGAGTGGAGGAATTTTATTTTTTAGTTGGTTGAAGAAATTTTAACTTAATCATATCTCGCCACATCATCTGTTAGTAAACAAATCTGTAAGTAATAATGTACATGCAGTACAAGCTAGTTGTATTGAAGCTGTATGTTAATGTTTGGCAGATCGTTGGCCTGTATCAAGCTCTGAATAACATTCTAGATAGTATGGCAACAAAGGACTTACCCATTCCTGTCTAGTTTATTTTTTAAGGAAAATGCTCATCTGTCAGAAAAATAGCTGACAGAGGGCTTGACACCCTCTCACAATCGTCGTGGCCCGTATGAATAAACAATTGGAAGGAAGAAGTGGTCCCACCCCAAATGTGTGTAGGTCAGCCCTTCTGTCATGTACTTTCTGGTAGAGGAGCATGGTCCATTTTTTAAACTCGTATACATGTTATCCTTTAGTGGAGTTAAAACTCTTTCCCGAAGAATTCATGTCTATATTGCAAGATTTCACACTTTTTTAGTACAAGAAACATCGATGTCAATTCATAATCTTTTGGCTCCATGTTATCTGTTTGAATCTTTTTTAATTCAATGTCGAGTTGGTGGTCTATTTTTGAATGTACACAGAAGCCTTGTGATGTTCGATAATGATTTTTCATTTAACTTGAGTTGCTGTGAATAGCGAATGAAATAAAAAGTGTTCCGTCCAACTGAGCCAACAATCAAAAGTAAAAAGGAGACATTTTTAGGTTAAAAAGTTTTACATCATGCTTCTAAAGGTTTAGTAAGCAATTTCTGGAAATTTTGAAAAACACCCATTTAGCAGGTTTTTATTAAAGAATATGCTACTTATATATAATGTAGTGTCCATAACGGTGTCCACCTTCATATGGAGGAGAACTCACTTTGGATACATTATGTTTTATTCGAATTGAATCCCCCTCCATGTGAGGAGAGTAGATTTGTTACAACCCACATTTTTATCTAATCAAAGTCAATAGTGGAATTTTCAAAGTCAACTCCAATGAGGACTTGTATGAAATAAATCATTTTTATTGGGACTTGATTGACCAAATCATTTTATTTGGGTTTATTTTGCAATTGGCAAAATATGAAGGTTGAATTGGATATATTTAAAAGTTTGGAATTTATTTATATACTTTTGGAAGTTTAAGGATTAAAGGTTACTAAAAAGTAAAGTTAAGGGACTTAATTTGCAATTATGGGATTGTGGACAAATTAATTCAAACCTTTGACCCTTTTTTTCTCATTTTACACCAAAACACACACACACACAATACGGGAAGCAGAACCGGCCGAGAAAGAAGAGAAAAAGAGGAAAAGAAAAAGGGAAAAAAGGAAAAGAAAAAGGGAGAAGAAGGGGAAAAAGAAAAGGAAAGGAGGTAAGGTTAATATCTTCAAGTTGGGTTTAATTTTTCCAATTGTCTTAGATGATTAAGTATGGTTTATATTAAAATTTTTAGGGTTTTATCATGTAATAATAAAATGTTAAATTTATGTGATATATGTACGATTTGGAGCTCAAGCTTAGGGATTAATTATGTTGCAGTTTTAACAAGGTGTTTAGGCAAGGAAAATTTTGGAAACCCTAGAATCCGATTTTGGGGATTTTAATTAATTAATTGTGGAAGTGATTATCTAAATGGAATATTTCATTTGGGAGTTGATTTTAATGAGCAAATGTATATTAGATGGGTGGAAATTATGGTCACTAGTTTCATTAAATTGGAAAGTAAAATTTGTTTTAACTTGGGAAGAAGGTTTTGTTGATAAATTAGTTATTAGAAAGGGATTAGAAAGTGGGATTAGCTCCATTGATCAAAAGAATATTTGGGAATTCATTCGAGCATCGACCAATTTTGGTTAAGTATTATAGAAGTAGATTTTAAAGTTTCTTAATTTAATAGTAGTTGATTAGCCATCTTGTTATGTATTCCAGGTGGTGACGAGGAAGTTGGAAGAGCCTATCGACCAGTTTAGGTTCAGCTTGTGTTATGTGAGTGGATAAGTTTATTTTTTTTAGAAATAAGTATTTATTTAATTTTGAAGTTACGTATTTTATAAGTTGAGTTGATAGCATGATTTTTTTAGAATAAAACGAATTTTATTATCAAATGTTTTTAAAAGTTAAATTCAATTCAATAAAATCCTTTCATTGACATATTATTTTAGTATTAAATATTTCAGTATATTCAAAGTTATTTTTAAAACCACCAGAAAGTACCCAAGTGATTTTACCCTCGTCTGCACTGGTGTGAATGTGTTTCCACAGTGTATGACTTCATATGGTTATTTTACCCACTCTGCGCTAGTGTGAATGTGTTTCCACAGCGTATGATCAGTATAGTGATTTTACCCGCTCTGCACTATTGTGAATGTGTTTCCATAGTGTATGACCATTTTATAGCTCTGCGCGCATATGATCAGAATTTCAGAATTACAGAATTTCAGAATTTAATGACCTTGCTATGTATATCGAGATTAATCGATGCACGAGTATGGTTATTCAGGGTACATTTTTGGTGTGATGTTCCAGTATTACATAGCTTGTCAGATTTTAGAAATAGATTTTACAGTATTTAGTTGATTCAGCTGAAAGAATGAAGATTTTAGTTTAACGTATTGTGAAAGGAAATTTTTACTATATACTAATATTTAGAAAGGTGTTATAAATGTTAAAGTATAACTTTTACAAATATCCACTCACTGAGTCGCAAGCTCATATTTTTGTCACCTCATTTCTTATCAGATAGAAGCTGCGTTGAGCCATATCAGAGCCTGTCGTTGACGAGTTGAGCTTCATCGTGTCCTTGTTTGTATGTCTCATTTTGTTAATTCATACAACATATATTTTGGGGGTTAATGTATTTTGTATCAAAAATGTATTAAGTCTCATACCCATTGCATATTTTGTGTATGTTTTAAAATGGTAAATTTCTTTTTCAGTACAACTCCTTGAAGAATTAGTATTTTGATGGGCTAGTGTACCCTATTTTAGAGTATGTGTATATGTTTGGGATTTTTGGTTTATTCTCAGGTGGTTTTTAGTCCATTTTTTAGAGGAAACTCTGCCGAAATTTTTATAAAATTATAACAGTCAAAGCATGTCAAGTTTGCCTTGGTGGTGGGTCCGGCATTTAGCTGGTATCTACCATCGGCGCACGACACGTGTCGGATCCATTAGGGTGATCGGGACGGGTCGTGTCAAGATTCCTATTGAAAAATACGGATAATGGATCGCCTATGTGGGGTAACCCGACCCGCAGGATTTTATAAGGGTTGGAGGGAGTGGTTTGAATTTAGAATTTAAACTCATAACTCCAAAATAACCACTTGAAACTTTCATATAGAAGTTATGGAAAAGAGAGGGGCAATCTAAGACATGAAAAAAATGGTGAAAAATTCGTATGAAAATTCACCTCAAAATTGAAAAAGTCTCTAGAATCACATTTTTGGCATGAAATCTCACAAGAAATGACATTTAGATTGTGGATAATAATTTCCTTCCATTGTGATCGGGAAATAGGATTGCCACTGCTGTTACTTCTGCTCTACGCAATACAGATAAAGATTATAGTATAGAGCGGGCTACTAAATTAGGAGCTAAAGTATTTACAGGCACAGCTGATCCAGTAGATGCAGAATCGTGGATGGTGAAGATAGAAAGAATATTTGATGTCATGGATTGCACTGATGATCGAAAATTACGATTAGCTACTTTCTTGTTAGAAGGAAGTGCTTATGATTGGTGGAAGTCCGTACAGGGTAAATATGTTGATCCTTCTGTGATCACGTGAGGCGAGTTTAAAGATGATTTTAATGAGCATTTCTACCCTCGTTCTTGTAAGACTGACAAACAAAATGAATTTTTGAGACTAGTACAGACATCAACAGTGGCAGAGTATCAGAAGAAATTTCTAGAATTGTCAAAGTATGCTGCTGCTCTGGTAGCTGATGAAGTTGATAAATGCAGAAGATTTGAGTATGGCCTGAAAGAAGAAATTAGATCAGTGGTGACTGCATCTGGGTATGAAAATTTGGGTAAACTTGTAGAAGCAGCATTAAGGGTTGAGAAAAGTTTGTCTGAACGACATGGTAGTCAACAACAAATGAGACTGGGAATTGGAAGCAGTAGTCAGTCATGGGCAGGAAGATCTATGATTAGGCCATCGAGGAGGGATCGCAGAGGAGGTGGATTAGGTATTTCCACTTCTGGTAGTTTTAAGTCCAGATCTCATGGCAGTCAGAGCTCGAGGTCGAGTCAGGGATCAGTACAGCAGCCAGGGAGTAACCGTACTCAGACTCAGAGATCTTCTCAGAGATCATTTACTCCTGGACAGAGTGATAGCTCTGGTGTGGCCAGATTTCCCCAGTGTCAGTTGTGTATGAAATTTCACCCTGGTGAGTGTCTTAAGGGAATTGGAGTGTGTTATCATTGTGGTCAGACGGGACACATGAGGAGAGAGTGTCCAGTTCGTTTCCAGCAGGGTGGCATACCACAGGGGGTTTCCTTACAGTCAGGTGCTGGCATTTCTAGACAGAATCAGAATCAGAATATTTTGGCAGGCAAGGCAGGTGCTACTAGTGCTACTCAGTCTGATGCTGCTGGCAGCAGTGGTACTAGACAGAAAAGCCAGGCTGGACGACCCAGAACTCAGGGAAGAGTGTTCGCAGTGACACAGCATGATGCCGATGAGTCACCAGATGTGGTTATGGGTACGTTATCTATTTTTGGCAAGAAGGCTCGTTCTTTAATAGATTCAGGTGCTACACATTCATTTATATCTTATGCATTTGCTATTTATGCGGACCATATGTCAGAATCATTAGATAGTGATTTGGTGGTAGCAACTCCTGTAGGAGATTCACTTTTAGCTAATAGTGTGTACAAAGATTGCGTGATTAGTGTGAATGATCATGAGTTGAAAGCTAATTTGATTCCACTTGATATTCATGATTTTGATGTGATATTGGGCATGGATTTTTTGTCTGTGAATCATGCATCAGTTGATTGTTTTCGCAAAGAAGTGGTGTTTCGAAGGCCAGGAGAGCCTGAAATCATTTTTAGTGGTGAACGGAGAATACTACCTTCATGTATCATATCAGCACTTGATGCTGGGAGATTGCTTAGAAAAGGTTGCCAAGCATATTTAGCTCATGTGATTGACACTCAGATCACAAAATTGAAACTTGAAGATATACCAGTGGCAAAAGATTTCCCTGATGTTTTTTCTGAAGATCTTCCAGGGTTACCTCCTGATAGGGAAATCGAGTTTACTATTGATTTGATTCCAGGGACTACCCCTATTTCACAATCACCTTACAGAATGGCTCCAGCAGAGCTGAAGGAATTGAAAGTTCAATTGCAGGATTTAGTTGATAAAGGTTTCATTAGACCCAGTGTATCTCCATGGGGAGCTCCAATCTTGTTTGTGAAGAAGAAAGATGGCACAATGAGATTGTGTGTTGACTACAGACAGTTGAATAAAGTGACAGTTCGCAACAAGTATCCGTTGCCTCGCATTGATGAATTGTTTGACCAACTTAGAGGTGCCTCAGTGTTTTCGAAAATTGATTTACGTTCAGGTTATCATCAGCTCAGAATTAGAGATGTTGATGTACCAAAGACTGCTTTTCGGTCACGGTATGGCCATTATGAGTTTTTGGTGATGCCATTTGGGTTGACTAATGCCCCTGCAGCGTTTATGGATTTGATGAATAGAGTGCTTCGCCCATATTTAGACAGATTTGTGATTGTTTTTATTGATGATATCTTAGTTTATTCTCGCAGTAGGGATGAGCATGCTGAGCATTTGAGGATTATTTTGCAAACTTTGCGAGATAAGCAGTTGTATGCTAAGTTCAGTAAATGTGAATTTTGGCTGGATAAAGTTGTATTTTTAAGTCATGTTATCTCAGCTGAAGGTATTTATGTAGATCCTCAGAAAATTGAAGCAGTAATGAAATGGGAACGCTCTACTAATGTTACAGAAGTACGGAGTTTTCTTGGGTTAGCAGGTTATTATCGTCGATTTGTAGAGGATTTTTCCAAAATTGCTCTTCCTTTGACTAGTTTGACTCGAAAGAACTCCAAATTTGTGTGGACTGATGAATGTGAAAAGAGTTTTCAAGAGTTGAAGAAAAGATTAGTTTCTGCTCCTATACTTACTCTTCCATCTCCAGGTGAGAAATTTGTAATTTATAGTGATGCTTCACGCCAAGGATTGGGTTGTGTTTTAATGCAAAATGGGAAAGTTGTAGCTTATGCTTCAAGACAATTGAAGAAGCATGAGTTAAATTACCCAACTCATGATTTGGAGTTAGCTGCAGTAGTGTTGGCATTGAAGATTTGGAGACATTATCTTTATGGTGAGAAATGTCAAATATTTACTGATCACAAAAGTTTACAGTATATATTTGATCAGAAAGAACTGAATCTAAGGCAAAGGAGATGGCTGGAATTGATAAAGGATTATGATTGTAACATTGACTACCATCCGGGGAAAGCAAATGTAGTTGCAGATGCTCTCAGTAGAAAGACAAGTTCATCTTTTCCATCAAGTGCAGTTTATGCTTCTTTGATTTGTGAGTTCAAGAAGTTACACACTGAGTTGACCACTACTACTTCAGGGGCAATATTAGCTCATTTTCAGGTCAGGCCTACTTTGATTGATAAGGTTAGAGAAGCTCAATCTCAAGACCATACATTGAGAATGTTGAAAGCAGAAGTTAGTACTGGGTTAAGAACGGATTATATGATTAGAGATGATGGGGCGCTGGTTATGGGTAACAGATTATGTGTTCCAAATATTCCAGAATTGAAGAAAGAGATTTTGGAGGAAGCCCACAGTTCTGCTTATGCTATGCATCCAGGCAGTATTAAAATGTATCATACATTGAAGGATCATTATTGGTGGCTTGGTGTGAAGAGAGAGATAGCAGATTTTGTATCCAAATGTCTTATATGTCAGCAGGTAAAGCCAGTTCGTCAGAAAACAGCAGGACTTTTACAGCCATTGCCTATCCCAGAATGGAAATGGGAACACATTACTATGGACTTTTTATTTGGTCTTCCTCGTACTCAAAATGGTCATGATGGAGTTTGGGTGATTGTCGATCGTTTGACCAAAACTGCCAAGTTCTTGCCGATCAAAGCCACTTATACTTTAAATAAGTTGGCAAAGTTGTATGTGGATGAAATAGTGAGCTCTTATGGTACTTTCTTATCTATTGTGTCAGATAGAGACCCTCGTTTTACATCTAAATTTTGGCCCAGTTTGCAGGAAGCCATGGGTACTAAACTACATTTCAGTACAGCTTTTCATCCTCAGACAGATGGCCAGTCAGAGAGAACCATACAGACTCTTGAGGATATGTTAAGGGCTTGTGTTTTAGAGCTAAAGGGTAGTTGGGATACTCATTTGTCATTGATGGAGTTTGCTTACAATAACAGTTATCACTCTAGTATAGAAATGGCTCCTTTTGAAGCTTTATATGGTCGGAAGTGCAGGACACCAGTTTGTTGGGATGAAGATGGTAAGAGGAAGTTAAAAGGCCCGGAATTGGTTGAAATGACATCTGAAAATGTGAAATTGATTAAAGAAAAGTTGAAAGCAGCTCATGATAGACAGAAAAGTTATGCGGATAAGCGCAGGAAAGACCTTGAATTTGCAGTAGGAGATAAAGTTTTTCTTAAATTATCTCCTTGGAAAGGGGTGTTGAGATTTGGCAAGCGAGGAAAGTTGAGTCCA